ACCAATGCCCAGTAAGACTCAAGACTATAGGCTTAAGAATAGTATATTGGAAAGGCGAACATAACCACTAAGGTACAAAGTAGAAGAGAATAGGCTAGTTTCCTAAAAAAAAATTTTTACTCCGTCAATTTTAATATAAAAAAATATTGGACACGTATATTTTTAATTGTCAATCAAACAAATAATTACAAAGTTATAGTGCGTTGAAGGTCCGCGCGACGTCACAAAGTGCTGCACTTTTACGCACTCACTGACGTCACGGGTCTTTTCTTTAGAACTTTGGCACGCTTTATCTGTTTACATTTTCATTAGTTTTAAAAAGTGAAAAATATGTGTCGAGTAGTTTTTGATAAGCTAACTGACGGACTAATTAAAACTCTTGCTTTTTTACCCAGGAAACAACAACTGTGTTTTATTATGTTTTACTTAAACTATTTAGGGTAATAAATTGGTAAGATCGACTTCTGCCATACATGTTAGTTAGAAATTTTTTTTTATGAAAAACATATGAAACTTCTAAAAACAATCATGTGGATGAAAATTGTTTACAATAAAAACCATAAAACATAATGTTGTTGTTTTACTTGTCAATATCTACTATACTAGACTAGACTGCATCCCACTTAACATCAGGTGCGATTGTGGTCAAATACCTGCCTTGTTATGCCTAAAAAAAAATATTCGTTCGTTCGTTTCAGCCAAATGACGTCCACTGCTGGACAAAGGCCTCCACAATGCCCAAGGTTTTCCACAATGAACGGTCCTGCGCTGCCCGCATCCAGGCTCCTCCCGCGACCCTTACCAGATCGTCGGTCCACATACATTGATTATTTTACTGATTTTGTTGTTTAAAAATATTCTAGAACATGTTAATTTACGGTTATTTAATTATTTTTTTGCATAAATAGGATCAGTATCAATAACTCATTACTCAGATTTTTTTCCCGTGAATGAAAATTAGTGCTGTATTTCCAGGTGGTTACTACTGCACTCAGTCCCAACGCAGCAGCCACGTGCTACATTTTGGAGGGTACACGTTCAATAAGAGGTACCAAGCTAAAATGGGCAAGTTCACATCATGGGTGTGTTCCTCGTACTACAGTATCCAGTGCCCGGTGAAGCTTAAAACTAATGAAAGTGAAATTATAGATTTGAGAGGAGAGCATAATCATTAAAAATCAGCTAGAGATTTATTTGTATCTGACTTTATAAGATAAAAATATCGTCCACCTTTTACACTTGAATGGACACCGAAATTATCGAAATGTCGTCTAGAATGGATGACTGTTTTGTTTCATATCTGGTTCATAAATTAATGTTTATTCAAGTATTCATAAACTCTGGTTTATGAATACTGTAATGAATGAATAATGTAATTAATGTAAATAAACATTAATTATCTACATTAATTACATAGGTATCTGTATAAAAATCTAAATAAAATAGCAATATTGTATGAATATTACCAAGTTAGACCCTTAGGTTATTTCTGATAATGGCTCAGATAAAAGTGATTAAAATTTTTAAACCAAAAAATTTGGTGATGATTAAAAAAAATTTTGAAATGGTCATCATTTGTGATAATTTATATTTTTCTGTGATTAGAATAATTTAACGCTTAAGTACCTAATATATGTATATACAATGTGGTTTTTCAAACTATAATAAAATAAGCTATAATAAAATGATGTAAAATAATTATTATACAAAAATAAATATTATAATGTCTCCTATGTATGTAGTTTACAGTTACAGCTCATGTTCCATTCAAAATATATATTATAAACTTTTATACAAGTAAGTAGATAACGTTAAATATTTAACTCTAACATAAAACTACTAAAACCTGATTAACTGAGACACCCTGATAACGAAAGTATTAATTGATTCTCCCCACCACGTTCCTGGGTTGAACACGGATTATTGAAGTGTTAATTAGTTTCACCATGGCAGAAGAGTGCTACCACAACATTATCTTGTAATAAATAAGAGGCCGACAAAGGCGACTGATGCCCATTTTCACCATCAATCCGTAATTTTTAAGTGACCCCTATGGTAATAAATAGCAGGATTTTTTTCAAAGGGGTCACATAAATAGGCATTGATGGTGAAAACGGGCTTGTGTTTCTTCAGCCACTTCACCAGCCGTTATGTTGTCCTGAAGAAGTGGTGGTAGGGCAAGCTGTATTAAGAATTTTAATTTGGTAGTTATCCGCTTTATTAATCCATTAATTTTTCCACTAGCTGAGATAGTCACGACGTCGAAAGGGGGTAAGGTGTTGCTTCTAGCTGGACACAGATACCACAGGGAATATGGCAACGAGGTGAGGAGCTACTGGCGCTGCACCAAGCGCGCCTCGATGGCTTGCCGTAGCAAAGTGAGGATCATACATGGGAGGATACTGGTCGGCCAGGGGCACAATCATCACTGAAGGTCAAATACCTGCCTTGTTATGCATAAATGTTATAAATAATTAAAGGTTTGGCCAAACCAACGCGATCACACGCAATCAGCCGGCGTGCAGCGATGGCAATCAATGTATTTAAAGCCTTGTATCCACTTGAGCATGCTCAGGCGAATGAGCGGCTCATTTGGCCAAGCCGCTCAAGTGGAGACGCCTGAGCACGCTCGGACTCGGCCAAATGAGCCGCTCATTCGCCTGAGCATGCTCAAGTGGATACAAGGCTTAAGTCTGGTCGCCATCGCTGCACGCCGGCTGATCGCGTTGGTTTGGCTGAACCTTAAAAACGGAAATAACCGAATGGTGAAATTCGTTCGTTCTAGAAATCGAAGAAACTATTGTGAACCCACTAATAGCATTTGAATATTTACCTTAATAGGTACAAAGGGTTAAAGGATTTGTCACGTCATAAATTATGTGAATAAGTAGACATAAGATATTATATTTTGTGACAAATTTACTTAGGTTCATAACTATATTAGAAGTGTATTCGTAATAAACGTGAATTAGCACACGTTAATAAGTCATAGAATTATATAATTTGTGACGAATTTACTACTGCTTTTCCCTGTGACAATTCGACTCTGTAGGCTACTATTATGTATTCTGTGTCTGTAGTAATTCGAGAATAATTCCAGCCAATAATTTGGTTGGCTCAAAATTAAATTCACAAATTAAATCAACACTTCACTTATTTGATTTTAAAATACTTGTTCAATTACTTTCTTGTCCGCGCCATTTATACTAATGATTTATATCTATTTGTCCAAAGTTTATAAAAAATAAAACGTGATAGCTTCTAGAAGAATATTGTGAAAAAATATTGTGATGTCAGTGATGTCACATGTATATTTAGAGTTAAAAAGATTTGGGACCAAGCGCACATGACATTAATCTTATGGTATACATTAACTTATTTACATTCAAAAGTGTAATGTCCAATCTAGCTTGTAGTAGTATTTTTAATTAAATTACTTTAATTTAAAATACCTAATTCGGGTGTATATTTTATGTTATGGAATAAACTCCTAAAAAAATGAGGAATGTTTTGAATAAAAATAAATAATGTTGTTGTTTTCTGTTAAACCAAATTGAAGAATGTTATAACGTAGAATAAGAATTTATAGTAACTTAATTTTACTTAGGTTTTAATAATTGTTTTCGTTATTACTTTTACAAACTCTATGGTCTGTATTTTTAATATTATGTTCAATCCTGGTATCAAAAATAAAGTATCCATTACTTTGACTTGTTACAAAAATTGTTATATAGTTCAAATAATTATTTACTTACTAATAATAAAGATATCTTAATAATAATAAAAAACAGGAGTTATTGATATTGCCCACATTAGTATGAACTTTGAGGAGGTTTAATTAAGTATTAAAACACTGGGTTATTTCTACATGTAATTTTTTTCTCACAGATTATTCATTATCTCGTGGTGGGTTAGCAGAAGATGGCGACTCCGGTGCTTCTTCGTCGACAGATTCGATGTCAGATCAATCCTCTTCATCGGATAAGGGAAAGAAGCGTAAACGTCTAAGAAATTATAAAAATTGGAAGGATACAAGAAAGGAAAACAAAATACTTATTAATCATGGTAGACAACACCTTTCACTAAAGGGACGTCTTATTGAAGCGAAAAAAATGGGCGACCCTTGCTGCTGCACTCAACATAAATGTAAAACTAAATTTACTGAAGCTGAAAGAATTGAGATATTCGATAAATTCTGGAAATTGGGATCTATTGAAAAGCGATGGTTATTTATTGTTAACCACACAAAAAAAATGTTAACGAAACGGAATGCGCGGCAGCCTGCACGTCAGAGACATTTTACTTACAAATATTATTTACCAAAACCCAACTCTGATGGTCTTAGTCAGACTCAAATAGCCGTATGCCAAATAATGTTTGTGCGTACTCTTGGCATGAGTCATGATGTCATTAAAACAGCATGGGAAAAGTACGATAAAAATGGAAGTATACAAAAAGACATGAGGGGGCGACACACTAAAAATCGGAAAGTTAGCAATGAATAATGTAATCAATGGNAAATCCATGGCAGGACTTACAATAATATCGTTACAAAGCCGCTACTTACTGTCCGTCAATACAGAGATATTGTATAATCCTAATCACAAAAATGAAGCCTACTTCGATAAAACTGTTCTTTTCAATCATTTGAGTACAAGTTGGCCATTGCCATTCTTAAAGAAAAAACAAATAAAAAGTCAACTTTTCTTGTATTTTCGTTTTTTACTCTTATTCACGCATTTTTTATATTATAGTATTCATTTAAATCATAATACTATGTATTTTAGCTTACTGTGTCTTTTTAAATCCCTATTTTTGCAACGTCATCGTACAGTCCGTATTCGCGGTTAGATACGGTTTGTACAGATTCGTATCTGTACAAACCGTATCTAGACATCGTTGTCTAATTAGCTAAGAGACAAAAAGGCATAAAGTAGTAGGAGGTTCAAATTTTATTAAGAAAATGTATAATGTAATAGTAGGTTATTGACGTGTATAATTTGTTTCACAGATTCTAATTATTCATCTCGTGGTGGGTTAGCAGAAGATGGCGACTCTGGTGCTTCTTCGTCGACAGATTCGATGTCAGATCAATCCTCTTCATCGGATAAGGGAAAGAAGCGTAAACGTCTAACAAATTNATCCTGACGGGCGAGCGCGTGACATTCGACTGATATAATACCCGCCGGCGGGGCGCTTCGCTGTAGGTAATTATCGGATGTACCGCGCGGAGTGAGCCAGGCCTGACCATGGCAGAAGAGTGCTACCACAACATTATCTTGTAATAAATAAGAGGCCGACAAAGGCGACTGATGCCCATTTTCACCATCAATCCGTAATTTTGAAGTGACCCCTATGGTAATAAATAACAGGATTTTTTTCAAAGGGGTCACATAAATAGGCATTGATAGTGAAAACGGGCTTGTGTTTCTTCAGCCACTTCACCAGCCGTTATGTTGTCCTGAAGAAGTGGTGGTAGGGCAAGCTGTATTAAGAATTTTAATTTGGTAGTTATCCGCTTTATTAATCCATTAATTTTCCCACCAGCTGAGATAGTCACGACGTCGAAAGGGGGTAAGGTGTTGCTTCTAGCTGGACACAGATACCACAGGGAATATGGCAACGAGGTGAGGAGCTACTGGCGCTGCACCAAGCGCGCCTCGATGGCTTGCCGTAGCAAAGTGAGGATCATACATGGGAGGATACTGGTCGGCCAGGGGCACAATCATCACTGAAGGTCAAATACCTGCCTTGTTATGCATAAATGTTATAAATAATTAAAGGTTTGGCCAAACCAACGCGATCACACGCAATCAGCCGGCGTGCAGCGATGGCAATCAATGTATTTAAAGCCTTGTATCCACTTGAGCATGCTCAGGCGAATGAGCGGCTCATTTGGCCAAGCCGCTCAAGTGGAGACGCCTGAGCACGCTCGGACTCGGCCAAATGAGCCGCTCATTCGCCTGAGCATGCTCAAGTGGATACAAGGCTTAAGTCTGGTCGCCATCGCTGCACGCCGGCTGATCGCGTTGGTTTGGCTGAACCTTAAAAACGGAAATAACCGAATGGTGAAATTCGTTCGTTCTAGAAATCGAAGAAACTATTGTGAACCCACTAATAGCATTTGAATATTTACCTTAATAGGTACAAAGGGTTAAAGGATTTGTCACGTCATAAATTATGTGAATAAGTAGACATAAGATATTATATTTTGTGACAAATTTACTTAGGTTCATAACTATATTAGAAGTGTATTCGTAATAAACGTGAATTAGCACACGTTAATAAGTCATAGAATTATATAATTTGTGACGAATTTACTACTGCTTTTCCCTGTGACAATTCGACTCTGTAGGCTACTATTATGTATTCTGTGTCTGTAGTAATTCGAGAATAATTCCAGCCAATAATTTGGTTGGCTCAAAATTAAATTCACAAATTAAATCAACACTTCACTTATTTGATTTTAAAATACTTGTTCAATTACTTTCTTGTCCGCGCCATTTATACTAATGATTTATATCTATTTGTCCAAAGTTTATAAAAAATAAAACGTGATAGCTTCTAGAAGAATATTGTGAAAAAATATTGTGATGTCAGTGATGTCACATGTATATTTAGAGTTAAAAAGATTTGGGACCAAGCGCACATGACATTAATCTTATGGTATACATTAACTTATTTACATTCAAAAGTGTAATGTCCAATCTAGCTTGTAGTAGTATTTTTAATTAAATTACTTTAATTTAAAATACCTAATTCGGGTGTATATTTTATGTTATGGAATAAACTCCTAAAAAAATGAGGAATGTTTTGAATAAAAATAAATAATGTTGTTGTTTTCTGTTAAACCAAATTGAAGAATGTTATAACGTAGAATAAGAATTTATAGTAACTTAATTTTACTTAGGTTTTAATAATTGTTTTCGTTATTACTTTTACAAACTCTATGGTCTGTATTTTTAATATTATGTTCAATCCTGGTATCAAAAATAAAGTATCCATTACTTTGACTTGTTACAAAAATTGTTATATAGTTCAAATAATTATTTACTTACTAATAATAAAGATATCTTAATAATAATAAAAAACAGGAGTTATTGATATTGCCCACATTAGTATGAACTTTGAGGAGGTTTAATTAAGTATTAAAACACTGGGTTATTTCTACATGTAATTTTTTTCTCACAGATTATTCATTATCTCGTGGTGGGTTAGCAGAAGATGGCGACTCCGGTGCTTCTTCGTCGACAGATTCGATGTCAGATCAATCCTCTTCATCGGATAAGGGAAAGAAGCGTAAACGTCTAAGAAATTATAAAAATTGGAAGGATACAAGAAAGGAAAACAAAATACTTATTAATCATGGTAGACAACACCTTTCGCTAAAGGGACGTCTTATTGAAGCGAAAAAAATGGGCGACCCTTGCTGCTGCACTCAACATAAATGTAAAACTAAATTTACTGAAGCTGAAAGAATTGAGATATTCGATAAATTCTGGAAATTGGGATCTATTGAAAAGCGATGGTTATTTATTGTTAACCACACAAAAAAAATGTTAACGAAACGGAATGCGCGGCAGCCTGCACGTCAGAGACATTTTACTTACAAATATTATTTACCAAAACCCAACTCTGATGGTCTTAGTCAGACTCAAATAGCCGTATGCCAAATAATGTTTGTGCGTACTCTTGGCATGAGTCATGATGTCATTAAAACAGCATGGGAAAAGTACGATAAAAATGGAAGTATACAAAAAGACATGAGGGGGCGACACACTAAAAATCGGAAAGTTAGCAATGAATAATGTAATCAATGGCCGGACTTACAATAATATCGTGACAAAGCCGCTACTTACTATCCGTCAATACAGAGATATTGTGTAATCCTAATCACAAAAATGAAGCCTACTTCGATAAATTTACTGTTCTTTACAATCATTTGAGTACAAGTTGGCCATTGCCATTCTTAAAGAAAAAACAAATAAAAAGTCAACTTTTCTTGTATTTTCGTTTTTTACTCTTATTCACGCATTTTTTATATTATAGTATTCATTTAAATCATAATACTATGTATTTTAGCTTACTGTGTCTTTTTAAATCCCTATTTTTGCAACGTCATCGTACAGTCCGTATTCGCGGTTAGATACGGTTTGTACAGATACGACGTCTAATTAGCTAAGAGAAAAAAAGGCATGAAGTGCTAGGAGGTTCAAATTTTATTACGAAAATGTATAATGTTAGTAGGTTAATGACGTGTATAATTTGTTTCACAGATTCTAATTATTCATCTCGTGGTAGGTTAGCAGAAGATGGCGACTCTGGTGCTTCTTCGTCGACAGATTCGATGTCAGATCAATCCTCTTCATCGGATAAGGGCAAGAAGCGTAAACGTCTAACAAATTATAAAAATTGGAAGGATACCAGAAAATCAAGAAGGGAAAACAAAATACTTGTTAATTATGGTAGACAACACCTTTCACGAAAGGGACGTCTGATTGCAGCGAAAAAAATGGGCGACTCTTGCTACTGCACTAAACAATGCGAAACTAAATTTACAGAAGCTGAAAGAATTGAGATATTCAACAATTTTTGGGGATTGGGATCTAATGAAAAGCGATGGTTATTTATTGTTAACCACTCAAATAAAATGCTTAAAAATAGATCAAAGCAGCGGGGTGAGCCCGTACGTAACAGAAAGTATACTTACAAATATTATTTACCTAAAACTAACTCTGATGGTTTTAGTCAGACTCAAATAGCTGTATGCCGATTAATGTTTGTGCGTACTCTTAATACTAGTTCTAACATCATTAAAACAGCATGGCAAAAGTACGATGAAAATGGAATTATACAACAAGACATGAGGGGGCGACATGCTAAAAATCGGAAAGTTAGCAATGAATAAGTCGGTGTGCGCTCATTTGGTACGTTTGACTTATAATGTAATCCATGGCAGGACTTACAATAATATCGTTACAAAGCCGATACTTACTGTTCGTCAATACAGAGATATTGTATAATCCTAATCACAAAAATGAAGCCTACTTCGATAAAACTGTTCTTTTCAATCATTTGAGTACAAGTTGGTCATTGCCATTCTTGAAGGAAAAATAAATAAAAGTGATTTTTTCTTGTATTTCCGTTTTTTACTTTTATTTACGTATTTTTTTTTTACATTTATTCAATAAAGTATTTATTATATAATATTCATCTAAGTCATACTGGGTATTTTAGTTTACTGTCTTTTTAAAGTCCCTATTTTTTGCAACGTCATCGTTCAGTTCGTCTTCGCGGTCAGATACGGTTTATACAGATACGATGTCTAATTAGCTAAGCATGTAGTTGTAGGAGGTTCAAATTACATATAGTATTACGAAAATGTATAATGCAATAGTAGGTTAACAACGTATATAATTTGTTTCACAGATTTCAATTATCCATTATCACATGAGTTAGCAGAAGTTGACGACTCCGATGCTTCTTCGTCGACAGATTCGATGTCAGATCAATCCTCTTCATCGGATAAGGGCAAGAAGCGTAAACGTCTTACAAATTATAAACATTGGAAGGATACCAAAAAACACCTTTCAAGAAAGGAAAACAAAATACTTAATTATCATAGTGGACAACACAATTCACTGTGGGGACGTCTTATTGGAGCAAAAAAAATGGGTGACTCTTGCTACTGCACTAAACAATGCCAAACTAAATTTACAGAAGCTGAAAGAATTGAGATATTCAAAAAATTTTGGGGATTGCGATCTAAGGAAAAGCGATGGTTATTTCTTGTCAACCACTCAAAAAAATTGCTTAAAAATAGATCAAGGCAGCGGGGTGAGCCCGTACGTAACCGACAGTTTACTTACAAATATTATTTACCTAAAACTAACTCTGATGGTATTAGTCAGACTCAAATAACCGTATGCCGATTAATGTTTATGCGTACTCTTGATACTAGTTATTACATCGTTACAAGGGCATGGCAAAATTATTTAAAATGATTAACTGGTCTTTGAAATCGTTTGAGTACTAGTTGGTCATTGCCATTCTTGAAGGCAAAATAAATAAAAAGTAAAATTTTTTTGTTTTTCCGTTTTTTCTTTTATTTCCTTATTTTTTTATATAATATTCGTTAAAAAATTCTTGTNTTTCTTGTTTTTCCGTTTTTTACTTTTATTTTTTACATAATATTCATTTAAATCATACAGGTATTTTAGTTTAGCTGTGTCTTTTTCCTTACCTATTTTTTGTAACGTCACGTCATCGTACAGTTCGTCTACGCGGTCAGATACGGTTTATACAGCAGATCATATCTGCTGTATCATATCTGTCTAATTAGCTAAGCATGATGTTGTAGGAGGTTTAAATTATACACGGTGTTACTTTCCATCCTTGTCATATTCACAGAGACAAAAGTAGCAAAAAATACCTACTATTTCAGATAAACAAGAGACTCCCATAAAGAAAGCACTAAGTTTTTAGCAAATTTGGTTTTGCAGTACAAATTGGAATAAACCAATTTTGTCCCGCACGTTCAACAGGCGCAATATTGCAATGAACCTAGTGGTCGTCAGCTTTTTACAAAAGTGTCAAATATAACTTTAAGAACAATAGATTGCAATAGATATTTGAAAATAGAAAGATTCATTGTCGCCATTGCCAACAAGTGATGTGCATGTGTTACGTAAATTAGTTATGTGTAGCAGATTGTCGATAAAATAAAATACTCAAGATTAAAAAACAAAATTATAGGGCATTCTTTTATATTTACCTCTGTAAATATGACAAGAATGCAAAGTAACACCGTGTATTACGAAAATGTATAATGTAATAGTAGGTTAACGACGTGTATAATTTGTTTTACAGATTCCAATTATTCATTATCTCGTGATGGGTTAGCAGAATTCGGCATGAGGTAGAAATGATGCTTACGCCGGGAGCAGCAAACACTGCGTTACCGTGTTTCGGATGTGAGATCTGCACTCAGGAGGATTTGATGAGTGCTACTGACAACGCCACTCTTGTGGCGGAGTTTTGGGCTGACACTGTGTAGGTTTGTTGTCGACACGAAAAGAAGAAGAAGCAAAATTCGACGACTCCGATGGTTCCTCGTCGAAAGATTCGATGTCAGATCAATCCTCTTCATCGGTTAAGGGCAAGAAGCGTAAATATCTAACCAATTATGAAAATTGGAAGGCTACCAAAAAACACCTTTCAAGAAAGGAAAACAAAATACTTATTACCTAATCATGGTAGACAACACCTTTCACAAAAGGGACGTCTTATTGAAGCGAAAAAAATGGGCGACCCTTGCTGCTGCACTAAACAATGCGAAACTAAATTCACAGAAGCTGAAAGAATTGGGATATTCAATATATTTTGGAAATTGGGATCTAATGAAAAGCGATGGTTATTTATTGTTAACCACTCAAAAAAAATGATTAAAAATAGGTTAACGCAACAGGAGCCCGTACGTAACAGACAGTATACTTACAAATATTATTTACCAAAAACTAACTCTGATGGTCATAGTCAGACTCAAATAGCCGTATGCCAATTAATGTTTGTGCGCACTCTTGATACTAGTTATCACATCGTTACAAGGGAATGGCAAAAGTACGATGAAAATGGAATTATACAAAAAGACATGAGGGGGCGACATGCCAAAAATCGGAAAATTAGCAAATGAATAAGTCGGTGTGCGCTCATGTCAATTTCTGCTGCCGAAATTAGTTTCACCCGTACGTTTGACTTATAATGTAATCAATGGCTGGACTTACAGTAGTATCGTGACCGTGACAAAGCACCTATGTCCGTCAATATTGTATAATCTCACTCACAAAACTGAATCCTATTTTGAGTCCAAGTTGGCCATTGCCAATTGCCATACTTATAGAAAAAACAAATAAAAAGTGAATTTTCTTACATTTCCGTTTTTACTTTTTATTATACCTTGTAAAAATATTTTTTAAATAATATTCATTTAAATCATACCAGGTATTTTAGTTTACTGTGTCTCTTTAAAATCCCTATTTTTTGCAACGTCATCGTACAGTTTGTCTTCGCGATCAGATACGGTTTTTACAAATACGATGTCTAATTAGCTAAGAGACGAAAAGACATGAAGTTGTAGGAGGTTCAAATTATATTACGAAATTACAAAATGTAAGAGTAAGTTAACGCTGCATATATGTATAATTTGTTTCACAGATTTTTTCAATGATTCATTATCACGTGATGGCTCCGAACCATTTGGCGACTCCGATGCTTCTTCCTCGACAAATTCAATGTCTGATGAATCCTCTCCATCGGTTAAGGGCAAGAAGCGTAAACTTCAAACAAATTATGAAAATTGGAAGGATACCAAAAGGAAAATACTTGTCAATCATGGAAAACAACATATTTCAAGAAAGGGACGTCTTATTGCAGCGAAAAAAATGGGCGACCCTTGCTACTGCACTAAACTTACATGTGAAACTAAATTTACAGAAGCTGAAAGACTTGAGATATTCAACAATTTTTGGGGATTAGGATCCAGGGAGAAGCGATGGTTATTTCTTGTTAATCACTCAAAAAAAATGCTTAAAAATAGAATATTGCGAAGGGAAGAATCCATTCGTAAATCTCGGAGACAGTTTACTTACAAATATTATTTACCAAAAACTAATTCTGATGGTCTTAGTCAGAGTCAAATAACCGTATGCCTAGTAATGTTTTCACGTACTCTTGACATTAGTTACACAACCGTTGTAAAAGCATGGCAAAAGTACGATGAAAAAAATGGAATTATACAAAAAGATATGTCGGGGCGATATGCCAGAAATCGGAAAAGTAGCAGTTAATAGGTCGGTGTGCGCTCATGCTACTTACATGATGTCAAAATACATATTACGGGAAATTAGTTTCACCCATGTTTGACTTGTAAACCTACAGGTAATCAATGGCCGGACTAAAGCTTCAACCACACCAACGTGTGCAGGCCCCCTAGACAAAACGCACTTTTTGATCGAATCGAAAATCGAATCCGTCAAAACTCCATACAAAAAAGGGGCTTTTCGACCACTTTTCGACTGGTTTGCGATTATAATTTGCACTTTGTCTAGACCCACAGATCGCCATAGCCGGCGCGACCTACCAATGACAGGTCGCGCGACCTATGACAATTCACGCGACCTGTCATTTCCCTATGATCGAGCCGGCGATGGCAATCTGCACGCGTTGGTGTGGTTGAAGCATTAAAATAACACAATGACAGAGCTGCTACTGTCAGCCAATACAGAGATATTGTAACCTCTCACTTTAATTAACGTACTTGTAAGAAGCATAGTACCGAGTGACTCACAAAATTGAAGCCTAAGCTGAGTTGCACCACCTAACTTTAACGGTAACTATGACGATAACCGATGCTTTTTGTATGGAGTTTGACAGATTTTTTACGTTTTTAAAGTTAAAGTAAGATGGTGCAACCCAGCCTTTTTATTTTTTGCAATCTTTTGAGTAAAAATTAGCCATTGCCCAATTTTATTATTCTTAAAGGAAACAATAAAAAGTTAATTTCCTTTTTTTATTTTATTTACCTAAATTATTTTTACACTTTTATTTAAATCGTGCTGTTTTAGTTTACTGTGTTATTTTTCAGAGTATGGACTCACGGATTGTAGAAATACGAGAAATTGTTGGAAGTTCAGATAAGTTACAAAAATATTATATTGTAATACTAGGTTAACGCTATGTGTTTGTTTCACAGATTTCAATTATTCATTATCACGTGATGGCTCCGAACAATTTGGCGACTCCGATGCTTCTTCGTCGACAGATTCGATGTCTGATCAATTCTCCGAATCCTCTCCTTTGGTTAAGGACAAGAAGCATAAACGTCTAATAAATTATGAAAATTGGATGGATAATAAAAGAAAAGTACTTGTCAATCATGGCAAACAACATATTTCAAGAAAGGGACGTCTTATTGCAGCGAAAAAAATGGGCGACCCTTGCTACTGCACTAAACTTAAATGTGAAACTAAATTTACAGAAGATGAAAGAATTGAGATATTCAATAAGTTTTGGGAATTGGGAGATAGGGAAAAACAATGGTTGTTTATTGTTAACCACTCAAAAAAACTGCTTAAAAATAGAATTTTGCGACGAGAGCCCTTACGTAACAGATCGTTTACTTACAAATATTATTTACCAAAAACCAGCTCGGATGGTCTTAGTGAGACTCCAGTAAATGTATGCAGTTTAATGTTTGTACGTACTCTTGACGTTGCTTCTAAAACCGTTACAACCGCGTGGAAAAAGTGCGATGAAAATGGAATCATACAAAAAGACATGAGGGGGCGACATACCAAAAAAAGGAAAATTAGCAATGAAACTATTAAGTCGGTGTGCGCTCATGTTAAATTCTGCCGCCAAACTTCAAAAAACATATTACTTGAAAAGACTATTACCCATATGTTTGCCTTGTATAATCAATGGCCGGGCTTAGAAAAATATCGTGATAGAGCAGCCACTGTCCGTCAATATAGAGATATTGTAAACTCTTACTTGAAGCCTCGTAAAAAGTATAAGTAGCAAGACTGANAGGAACTGAAAACTGATAAATTACGTACCTACTTAATATTTATTGTTACATGTAATGTACGAAGTTGATTGCCCAAATATTACTAAAGTAAACAAATAAAAATATCAATTACTGAAAATTCCGTTTTTTATTTGATAATAAAAATAATCTTATTCTAAAATCTTTATGAGATTCTCTTCACTATAGTAAGTTTCATTCGTTGAAAATAGATTCGTTACAACTTGAATAGCGCGTGAATTTCTCACGAGAATTATTACGAGGTGTGACGCTTTTATCATTCTTTTTTTCCCTGTCATTATTCGACTAAGGTTCAAATCGACAATTTACAAATCGCCCCTTTATTTTACAGAGAGATTTTATAATAATAATGTGTATAGATTATAGTTTTAAGTGTCATTTAATAATGAAAAAAAGATTCGAATTGGAATTTCGTGTTAACTGTGTTACAAGTTGCATTCCAGGACCTTTATTTCGTGAGACGCCATGGGGAGACATAATCCTCTTTTTGAACGGCCATAAGTACGTCGGCGATCGAAATAAGGGTTATCGTAGAATCTGGAGATGTGTCAAGAGGGTGACCAGCTGTTGCCCCGTCATGGTCCTGACTATAAATCAGCAGATAGTAAATGTTCTTAATAAACATAACCACGCTCTATAATAAATAGGCTAACGCCCGTGTTCACAAACATTACTATGTCTCACAGTGTGCGTGGACGCACAGGGTGACATACGAATCAATCACAAAGCTCTATTTAACGCTGTACGTTCGATTTGCTGCTTCACTTAAGCAAGCATCGTTTATGAATACGGGTGTTACAATTACATTACATTCTTTATTGATCTTGAAATCAGGTTGTGAATTATCTTATGAGTAAGACTTATCAATTTTTTTTAAAAAATATTGTAGATTTCGATTAAAATTTATTTTATTCATTCTTTATGTAAGCACGTTTTTTATCTACCTAGCTACTGTAGTTTTCCACAAAGGTGTGGGTAGAGTGATGTTCTTAAGACAATAATCTTATCTGCAGAAGTAATAAAAAAGTTGCATATTTACGATGGCTGTTATATTTATATAAAAAAATCTCTATATTAGTACTAAGTAGTTTGTTAATTCGATTTTAGTTGTTGAAATGTCGTTTTCCGCACAGATATTTCATGCATTTTGCTAGAAGATGTATGCAACATGAGTGTTAATTACAATACATGTAGTGATTTTTATGTGATTAATTTTTAATTTACAATAAGTATTGTAGTTTGTGGTTTGGTTTTGTGTTTTTGTACTATGTTTTCCTTTACGTAATTTTTTATACAGTGTGAGTCACGTTAAAGTGTACATATGAAAATAGATGAAACTAGACCTATTTTTATCGACAAAAAAGAGGTCAAAATTTTTTTGAGATTTTTTTTTTTTAAATTTTGTAGAATTTTTTTTCTTCCAATTACTTATTGTAAAGAAAACGTAATAACTTTTAAACTAAGCGGTATATCCTGATAAAATAAAAACAGTAATAATGTTAAATAACAGGCGATACTAAACAAATGCATAAAAAACACAAAAAATGCCAACAAATAATAAAAAATGTTACTTTTTAAAAAAAATCTGCTTTTAAATTCGTGTTTTTTTGGTTATTTGATAAATTTCTCCAAAAAATGCCCCTATAACCGGTGGTTTTTATTACTTTGTATTATTCTCTATCGTATTACCTTCGTAAAACCAAAAATCGCATGTCTCTATCCCTATCACAACGTTTGCAATGATCGTTTGAACTAAGCCTCTCCGGGCGTGCCATTCAACGCTTCGTTAACAACGAAACTGAAAATGGCTCTAGATTTGTAATTTTGATAAAGACAAGTTAGATTTCAAATAAAAACAAAAGATTTCGAAGTAAAATAAGCATTTTAGTAAAAATTAAAATTGTCTCTACCTGTAGCGGAGAATAATGTTGTGGCAGGCCTTTGTTCAAACGATCATAGCAAATGTTGTGATAGGGATAGAGACATGCGATTTTTGGTTTTACAAAGATAATACGATAGAGAATAATACAAAGTAATAAAAACCACCTGTTATAGGGGCATTTTTTGGAGTTTATCAAATAACCAAAAAACACGAATTTTTAAGCAGATTTTTTTCAAAAAGTATCAATTTTTATTATTTGTTGGCATTTTTTGTGTATTTTATGTATTTTTTTAGTATCGCCTGTTATTTAGCATTATTACTGTTTTTATTTTATCAGGATATATCGCTTAGTTTAAAAGTTATTACGTTTTCTTTACAATAAGTAATTGGAAGAAAAAAAATTCTACAAAAAATTTTAAAAAATCTCAAAAAATTTTTGACCTCTTTTTTGTCGATAAAAATAGGTCTACTTTCATCTATTTTCATATGTACACTTTAACGTGACTCACACCGTATATTATTTCAACATTGTTAAGAATTGTTATTATCTTCTAAAAATAAGTAACTTGTGTTTAGTGTGTGTATGTGAATGAGACTTTTTTTTTAATGAATGTTTTCCATAATATTTGTTTAAAAGTAGTTTTTCTCAAGAGAAAATGCAGCATTATGTTTATTACAATATTCAAAAGTAGTGCTTCATTGTTTACTATGATTCTGTTATTGTCCTTTTTTAATATACATTTTGCTTTTTGTGAGCAATTAAATCGTCTCTAATTGTTGTTTTTACAAATGTATGCTTAAAAGGTAATAAAGTTGATGAAAGATAAAGATGGATTTAAGATAATATGTGTACAATATGTCTTAAGTTATTGCACAGGCTTACATTTTATCCTTAATTTATGTACTTAATAATGATGTTTGTGACTCAACCGGTAAACTTATTACAGTCGAAGAAAACACTACTATGAACTTAATAATAAGCGAAGTTCACACACAAGCTAACGACAATTTTTCTGATGACGACGTCATTGAAGTTGTAAGAGATGAAGCACCCATTGAAATACTATCAGACGGTGAAGAAAATGAACGTGAGAAAAATAATCAAAGCCAGGATACTGCTATACAAGATTTTCATTTTACATCAGTACCCACTATTCTAGAAACTCAAAACGATCAAAGTATAGACACTACTGTAGATCCTCTTCTTAGCAACACGGGTTTTGTAAGCTCAGAACATGAAGCACATGATAAATCGCCCATAAAATCCGATGCAATGGTTGACGAAACACCAACTAACAATACCATCAATGGAAATAAAGATACTGCGGATCTAACTCACTCTAATAATGATAAAGATAATTTTGAACGGGATAGTGAACAATCAGTTGACCCATTGTCAGAGAAATCATTAAAACAATTGCAGGAGGNACAAGAGGTTCAAGATCTTGAAAAGACTTCAGAAGAGAAAGCTAAGAATGATTAAAATTGTTTAAAATTATCTTCTTTATTTGTTATTATTACTTGATCTAAAGAGAAACTAACAATGATGGAAATTATTTATAATTATCTTCTTTTTTGTGATTACTTAATCTAATAAAAATATTAAATTAATGAACTGCTGTTTGAACTTTGAGAATTTTTTGAGAATTGACATCACCCTATTTATTGTAGCTGTAATTTCAGTTCTTATTTATGTTCTGGTTTGGGGATTTTTTTTTTGTTTCAGCGCAAGTAATAAGCATCGACTTCACATTGCACAAGAGCAAAAGAGGTGCATTGATTCTGGTTTGCGATGGTTTTAAATATCGAAGAGATTACTTGCACGGCGAGAGAGTGTCGTGGAGATGTGTCCGAAGACAGTGGGGGTGCAAAGCGACCGTTGGCACTGTTGGGAATGAACTAGTCAAGTTGTCTGGGGTGCATTCCCACCCCCCAGAAGATGCCGATGATATAATGTAAAATGTTGTTCATATTGGTCAAAGAATAAATTGAAAATACCAAATCATTTTATGAGAGTTGATTCATGTGTGGTGTATATTTTACAAATTATATATTTGCCTTACTAGCGATAAGACATTATAGTATAGTTTAGAAAAATAATTTGTGTTAATAAATTATGAAATTTCTTAGACCTACTGTATAATTTTGTGCACGCATCAATCTAAACGCTTTTTGGGAGCAGGAAAGCAGCATTTCGTCATCAGTAAGAGAAACTGTAGGTCCGAATTCTGAAAATAATCACACTGTCCTACAGAACTATTTCTGTAGTCTAGTGTTAGAATTTTATCACTATGTGTAATAGGAACCTTCATATCTACAGGGAAAATCCATTATGTTGCGCATTTTTCTTCAAATATGAATGTTGCCTCATACAAAAACGACACTTGTTAATACTAGCTGAATTTTTGGACGGCTCTACCCATATCTACACGTACCCTTTATACAAACCCTAATATGGGAAGAGGCAATACACCTTTATCTGAATGAATCAGGTGCGGTATACTAATCGATTCCTCCCTTCCAGGGCTGGACCTCAAGACAGTGGCTTTCCAGGATGAGAACGGGCGGAGAGTTCTCATGGTTGGTGACAAGCGCTTCATGAGGCACTACGTGAATAGCAGGGGACGCATCCGATGGAGATGCTGTAAGTCCTTCAATAGATGTCGCGCCATCGCCATTACTGATGGCATGCATATCGTCAAACTCAACGATAGGCACAACCACATATAAATAGTAACTTTCAAATTAAGCGACCGCAATGATATTAAAGAACTATAGATATGTTACGTTCATAGAAATTACGATTTTAATCCGTGCCGAGCTATTCCAAATTGCACACATTGACAAATGTAACTGATAAGTGAAACAAAAGATACGAAATAGCACGCAAATGAAAGAGATAGCTATAGTTTTAACGATTCTGCACTAACTAATCTATGTCCGCAGCGCACGCATCCTTATCGCTCTAACGTCAAAACAAGATCGCTTTCTCTTTCTTAACTTGAACATGGCGCATGGCGTCTTGATTGTTTGCATAAATAATTGAAAATATAAATACTAAATAATTTTGCATAATCACATGTGGTAAGAGATCCCTTGTATTTTGTTTACTTTAGAGTCATAATTGGTACACTTTCGAAACACACACGATGGCATTTTTTATTTATTTTGGTAAGAACAGGGAGCTATTCCAAATTGCACACATTGACAAATGTAACTGATAAGTGAAACAAAAGATACGAAATAGCACGCAAATGAAAGAGATAGCTATAGTTTTAACGATTCTGCACTAACTAATCTATGTCCGCAGCGCACGCATCCTTATCGCTCTAACGTCAAAACAAGATCGCTTTCTCTTTCTTAACTTGAACATGGCGCATGGCGTCTTGATTGTTTGCATAAATAATTGAAAATATAAATACTAAATAATTTTGCATAATCACATGTGGTAAGAGATCCCTTGTATTTTGTTTACTTTAGAGTCATAATTGGTACACTTTCGAAACATACACGATGGCATTTTTTATTTATTTTGGTAAGAACACAGGAACTTACGGTGTGGTACACGCGATTGCGCACGACGCAGGCCACACGAAGACTAAACACAAGACGTCCCAATTGGGACGTATTTGAGTATTCACAGCGCGAGCGCTTATAACATATCTGCTTTTGTTTTTATATAATATCATTGAGCGACCGTGAATTTTAGTAATAATAGAATTAAAACTGGCAAGATATTTTTGCCTCTACCTGTGTCTCTGTATAAAACAATAATTATAGAATTAAACAATAATACTATTTATGTTACTGATTAATTTTGAAGATATCAAAGTGACGTGTCTGTGAATTTTTGAATTTAAATTACATTTTAACATTTTTATTATAGCGCTTTTACAGATTTATTTAATAGTAAATACCGTTTGCAATTGCATGACGAGTATCTAATATTAATAATATTATTATGTTAAGTAGCAAAATATTGCCAGTACCTATGTATTTGGTAGTGGCTTTGTAGTACTAATTACCCTACGTATGATAAAGTGTAAACTTATATACGAATTTCTTGTAAATAGTCATGTGAATTGATAATTTAAAGAAAATATTTACCTACTTGCATTATAGCCTGACCAGGAACATAAAAACCCTCGCCATGTTGCGGAAAACTAATGGTACTAATTTCTTTTAATGGCAACAGTAACTGAAAACTTCATTGACATGTCACCTTGCATGTCAGTCTATTGTTGTCAAAGTGTAAACAAACTTTATTTTAAATGTTTGCAATTGATTTTGTGAATTAAATTGCTAAAATATTTTTATAGTCGTGAAAGAAAAGTGGTTCACGATGTGTTAATGTATTTGTCGAAGAGAAATAATATAAGGATTCGGACAATATTTTCATTGAATAATGTTTCCGACAAAGGTTGTCAAATTGACTGACATGTTTATCGTATAGTACAGTCCACTATGAAAATTAGCTGTAGTCTGTTTCAACTACCTATTTTAATGTTTTTTGTCACTTTCTAAGCTTTGAATTTTATGGAATTGGGAAAGAAGTACCGAGTTTGAAGCGTTCATGAGCAGACATTGCAGTTGAATATTCAAGTTCTGAATTTGATTATTGATGAATAATAAAATAAATCCTACTAGCTCGATTGATGGTTTCATTTAATTTATTTAAACCAGGTTTCCTTTAATAATATTTTTCGTTAATTTATGAAAATATCAAATTAGCCCGTAATCCTGAGTCCTGGTACATAAATTTAGCCTATTAATTTAACACATGTACGACTGTACTCAGTGTTGCACTATCAAATGCAATTGAAGCGCCTCTATGCCAGGGTTTTTATGTTCCTGGTCAGACTATACAATAATTTGTAAGGCTGGGTTGCACCATCTTACTTTAACTTTGACAAACGTCAAAAATCTGTCAAACTCTATACAAAAAGCACTGGTTATCGTTAGAGTTACAGTCAAAGTTAGGTGGTGCAACTCAGCCCAAGTGTTTTAGTTTTAAGCCATTATCATAAAACATTTGAATACCTAGGTAGGTTTTGTGTATTCATTCATCATTCGTGTTTAAGTGCGAGTAGGAATGATATTTTCTTTTGGTACTTATTTTATTTTTACTGATAAGCCGTGTTTTCTGTAGTTTATTTTGTGTTTGATACATTAATAAGTATAATAAATATGTAATTTTATAAGACGTCCGTTTTTACTTATTATATTTTTAACAATTGTTTATGTTTTAGAGACGTCTCTTGAATGTAAAACAATAAATAAATTATTATGTTTATTGCAGTGAATTTATCCGCATTTTCAATTATTTTCATTAAAAACCATAATAACATAATATGAAATTAACATAGGTAGCTAGACCTTACAATACGATGGTATGCTGATCTGAAGTGCAGTCAGGGAATAAAACAAGTCAAATTACAAAACGTACATACTTTGGTACCGCGGGCTTACGCAAGCCATCGCTATCTAGTTTTAAAAAAATACTAACTTTTATTATTCGAGCATCAAAGACGAGGCCTCGAATCCAGTTACATTCTGATGAAAACTAGTGACTAAATCGCTGTCATTATTGCTATCGTAGATACTTACTATTCAGTAGTGATGAGGATTCGCCTTACTTGACCAGGCGGTAGAGATTTCAAAGGTCCAGTAGCTACCTAAGCCTAATTTTTTAAATTTATAAAAATTTTAAAAATCTCAGGCTCATTATTTTTTTATTTTACCAACATAAACTCCATTTACTATGCACAATACTAGTAAGTAAATATGAAAGGGTTATGACAGTATACGTGTTTAGTTTCTATGCAATTTGACAGTCGGCTCAATAAGCTGAGGCGCAGTATTGCGCACGTTGTTTCTTGACCAAAACTATTTACTCGTACTTCTATTCCCAATATCTTGGATAAAGTCAACCTTAAAGGAGACCGAGGAGAGTTGTGACTTTTTTTATTACCTTATAGGCACAACTCTCCCCTGTTACAACTCCTGTCTCCCCTAGATAACAACTGAATCCTCCGGAACACATTATCCAAAAAGTATCATCTAAATGTGCACTCAAAAACTAATAGAAGAGAATAGGTATTCCATTGTACTGTGCCTACTTCCAGGAAATCCAGGGGAACTGCCCGTGGTCGCGTTCGAGGAGCTGAAAGGGCGACAGGTGCTGATGGTCGGCAACCAGCGGTTCAACAGGCACTACGTCAACAACGGCCGCACCCGCTGGCGTTGCTTCAGGTCCTACAGCAGGTGTCTGGCCATCGCCATCACGGATGACATGCAGAACATCGTCAAACTCAACAACAACCATAACCACTGAAATGGGCAATTAAACCAATCGACGTCAAGGTGGACCGACAACCTCATAAAGGTAGCAGGAAGGCGCTGGATGCAGGCCGCCAACCGGACGATGTGGAAATCATTGGGGGAGGCTATGTTCAGCAGTGGACATCCTGTGGCTGAAATGATGATGAATCGACGTACCTATAATAGTCAGATGCGTGCCGCCATAAACCTTTGTCGCGTATCGATTTTACGCGATAAGCTCATACGCATCTAAAATCATGGATAAGATTTTATATCACGGCGCGCATCGGAGCACGACAGGAGACTAATTTGTATTGCCCAAAATACTAACCCCCTTAAATAACAAAAAGTTACACAGTTGTTGAACACTGTTATAAAATGAAATTTCCATACAAAACGTCACTTTAAAACACTGTTCAACGAGCGTGTAAGTTTTATTAGTATAGCCTGACCAGGAACATAAAAACCCTCGCCATGTTGCGGAAAATTAATGGTACTAATTTCTTTTAATGGCAACAGTAACTGAAAACTTCATTTACATGTCACCTTGCATGTCAGTCTACTGTTGTCAAANTAGTCTTTTTCACCTAAGATGATCCGTATGACGTTTCGAGTTTGAAAGATTTAGAGATGTCACATAACTAAACCATAGCGATTTATCTATCGATTTTTTTCGAAGAGTTAGTAAAACCTACTTTTAGATAAATATTTTGTATAGGTGTTATTTAACAAAAAAACATGTTTTTTACAATTACAAATATTATTGTAACAATTTTTTATTGATAATATTCAAATTTCATGGTTCATGTTAAAAAAAACGATTCCTAAAAAGTACTGGTTCTGTTTATTTAAATTAAAAAACCATTAATTTATTTTTAATGCGTTTATTAAAGTCAATAATCGAAAAATATAGTTGACTTTTGTGATGTTTTTAATAACTAAGTATTCACTGCAATCGATTAATGAACCGCGGAAATAATCGAATTTATTATACAAGAAATACCCCAGCACTAAATCTATTCCGTTTCACTCATTGCGTAATGAAATAAATAATATTTTTACATCGTATTTAATTAAAATATAATCAATAGACTCAGATTTTACTATATATTTCAAGACAAGGTAGTAATTTTTTTTTTATTATATTTCTAATAAAATACAAATATTTTTTCAAAAATATTCTGCATATGTAGTATGCGTAATATGGATAACCTTGAAGTGTCATACGGATCATCTTACGTGAAAAAGACTATATTTTAAAGTTTTTTGTCACTTTGTAAGCGTTGAATTTTATGGAATTGGGAAAGAAGTACCGAGTTTGAAGCGTTCATGAGCAGACATTGTAGTTGAATATTCAAATTCAGAATTTGATTTTATTGATGAATAAGAATAAAATCCTACTTGCTCGATTGATGGTTTCATTTAATTTATTGAAACCAGTTTACCTATAATATAATATTTTTTTTGTTAATTT